AATCTCCATATAAGTAGAAATGAATAATAGGTAAAAATATAAATTTCCATATAAGTAGAAATGAATAATAGGTAAAAATATAAATTTCCATATAAGTAGAAATGAACAATAGGTACCAGGACTATGTGGTCCAATGGCGCAAATTATGCCGTGGAATCGTGTTCACCGAGAATGGTGAACACAAGTCAAAACGACGTCGTTTTTAGGCAAAAAAAAAAATAAAAAATCGCGGATGTGGAGTTAACGGCGCGTTACTGATCAAATTATGAATTTTCTGTTATGAGATTATGAATTTTATGAAAATTCATAATCTCATAACAGAAAATTCATAATCGCATAACAGAAAATTCATAATCGCATAATAGAAAATTCATAATCGCATAACAGAAAATTCATAATCTCACAAATGAAAATTCATAATCTCATAACAGAAAATTCATAATCTTATAACAGAAAATTCATAATCTCATGGTTCCAAAGTGAATGTGTAGGCATGGTTCCAAAGTGAATGTACAGGCATGGATTCATAATTTATGAATGTCCGTGATTTCGGACGGGAATATGTAGGCATGGTTCCAAAGTGAATGTGCATGCATGAATTCATAATTTATGAATGTCCGAAACTCCGAAATTATGAATGTAATGAAAATTCATAATCTCATAACAGAAAATTCATAATCGCATAACAGAAAATTCATAATCTCATAACTGAAAATTCATAATCTCATAACAGAAAATTCATAATCTCATAACAGAAAATTCATAATCTCATGGTTCCAAAGTGAATGTGTAGGCATGGTTCCAAAGTGAATGTGTAGGCAGTCACGTAATTTATTAAAAGAAAAAAAAAAAAAAAGATAACGGTGCACTAACACCGTTGGAACCGTGTTCACCATGAATGGTGAACACGGTTCCATGGCATAACGTCTGGTCCAATGGTATCCGGGTTGAACTTCTATTTGGAAGGTTATGAGTTCGAGCTTCAATGGAGGCGTTATTAGCTCTTTGTGTTTCAGTAGGTTGAGAAAATATATGAATAGATACTACATTGTAAGATATATAAAACAATGATGATAAAAAATAAGCTAATGAAGACCCAACGAAACAATGATAAAAAATAAGCTAATGAAGACCAACGAATATTTTTCCATATTTGAAAATGAATGAAATTATTAATTATGATTAGTTGGATATTGTGTGACATGGAAATTTTCTTTCTAGGCAGAGTAGATATGGTAAAATTCTATTTCATTTCACAATAGCAAAATACATATCTCTATAAAAAGAAATAATAATGACATTTATATCTATATAAATATGAAAGTAAAATACTATTAGGCTAATAAATATATCCCAAAATTCAATTTCAAAAATAGTAAAATATATTGATCTCCATAAACAAATAAACAATGGCATTTATACATATAAGTTTAAACAATTTATTAATTTTAATTTGTTTAAAAAATATTCATTGACACCTTTAAAATGAATGAAATTGTTAAATTTGATTAATTGGGTATAATTACTTGACGTGAAATTTGCGAGATAATACAATACTTTCTCGATATGCTTAGAGTGGTTATGGTAAATTTATATTTTGACTATAGTAAAATACATATCTCTATGAATAGCACTGACAACCATATTTATATAAATAATAAAAGTAAAATACTAATATGTTAATAAATATATTCTAAAATTCTATTTCAACAATAGTAAAACTATATACCTCCATAAATAGAAATAAATAATGACATTTTTCATTTTTTTTTTGAAAGAGAGAGAGGAGGGAAAAACCTAAGACAAAATGTAAACATTTTATTAATGTTTTTTAACTATTCATTTACGGGCATGTTTTTCCCTCTTTGAAAATGAATGAAACTTTTAGGTTTGATTGGTCGGATACCAAAGAGGTGTGAAATTTTTGAGACAATACAATCCTTTCCTGATATGCTTCGAGAAAATATGGTAAAATTCTATTTTGACGATAGTAAAATACATATCCTTATGAATATAAATGACAATGATATTTATATAAATAAGAAATGTAAAATACTAATATGCTAATAAATATATCATAAAATTCTATTCCAACAATAGTAAAACTATATATCTTTATAAATAGAAATGAATAATAACATTTCTATTTCGACAATAGCAACAATATTTATATCAATAATAGAAGTAAAACACATACTAATAGGCTAATAAATATATCCTAAAATTGTATCTCAACAACAATGATAAAAGTATAAATCTCCATAAATAAAAATGAACAATGACATTTATAAATATATATTTTTTATTAGATAAAGGAGGGAAAAATTAAAACAAAATTTAAGCATTTTATTATTATTTTTTGTAAAAAAAAAAACATTCATTCACTACAAGAAAAATGCACATAGACAACACTAGAAAGACAACAGTTTTTTAGAAAAGTGTTGTCTTTTGTATAAAAGACAACAGTTTGGTCCAAAACCGTTGTCTTTGATGCAACACTTTTGTCAAAGACAACGGTTTTTACTTAACCGTTGTTGTAAGTGTGTTGTCTTTGTGCATTTTGTTAAAAGACAACACCACAACGACAACGGTTTTTTAAAACCGTTGTCTATGTGCGTTTTTTTTTATAAAAAAGACAACGGTTTTTTTAACCGTTGTCGTTGGTGTGTTGTCTTTAAGCGCACTGGAATACACAACACTAGAAAGACAACGGTTGTATAAAACCGTTGTCTTTGTGCTCTCTTTTTAAAAAAAAGACAACGGTTTTATTTAACCGTTGTCGTTGGTGTGTTGTCTTTAAGTGCACTCGAATACACAACACTACAAAGACAACGGTTTTTAAAAACCGTTGTCTTTGCCCGCTCTTTTTTATTTAAAGGACAACGGTTTTTTTTACCGTTGTCGTTGGTGTGTTGTCTTTAAGCGCACTATAATACACAACACTACAAAGACAACGGTTTTTTAAAACCGTTGTCTTTGCGCATTATTATTTTTTAAAAGACAACGGTTTAATTTAACCGTTGTCATTTATGTGTTGTCTTTAATAGCACTTGAATACAAAACACTACAACGACAACGGTTTTATATAACCGTTGTCGTTGCGCGTTCTTTATTTGTTTAAGACAACGGTTTTATTTAACCGTTGTCTTTAAAAGGCATCAGTTGTATAAAATATAAACAAAGATGTTAACAACAAGAATAGAACCCAAGACCTCTAACATAACAAACTAAGCTAAACCCACCAAGCCACACCAACACTTTTGTACTAAAGCGCAACATCTAGTATATAACCAGTTTGCTTCTGTGTTGTCTCTGAGAACAAAGACAATTATTGTATAAAACAAGTTAAAAATACGCTACTAGGAAGGATAGAACCCAAGACCTTTAACATAACAAATAAAGCTAAACCCACCAAACTACACCAACCCTTGTTTACTAATGTGTTACACCTTATCTTTTACCTATAATTTTGGGCTGGCAGCTTTGACCTCTGGGCACTTTAACAAAGAAAGAATACAATTCAAAAGTTAATTTAATAGTTATATTTTCGTTCATATTTAAATATAAAATTATTCACCAAATTTTCAATTTCAATTCATTAAAGTTTTATTTTCAATTACAATTAAGACCAATCTATGAATTCAAAAAAAAAAAAAATTATCAAGTATAAAAAATAATAGATTATACCTATAATATTTTTTTAAAAAAATTGAGGTCCCTGTGCGGTCGTGCCGGTCCGATATGGCCTAGAACGGCCCCGGCGGTGCAATGTGGTGTTCCGAATGGTGCGGTATGGTGTGGATCGGGGTATGGGCGGCATGATAGGGGCCGGGGTTGGTAATCGATCCTTCCGGCTAGTGCATGACTAACAAGGTTAGCTATATGTTGGTAATCTACCCTTCCGGCATGCATGAGACACGTGGAGAATGGATATGAAAGAGTAGTTGATATCGTACAGTTAGCTATAGCCCATTTCTTTTGCCGCGATCTTTTTAATAATTGGGCCGCCAGCTGTCTGGGCAATAAAGGCCAAATTATGCTGTGCAATTTTGTGCAGCATGCATGGTGCACACTGTTCTATGTTCATAATTACCGAACTATATATTCATAATTTTTGAAATTCATATTCATAATGATTGAACTCTATATATATATATTCACAATTACAGAACTCTATGTTCATAATTTTCGATGTTCATATTCCCAATTGTTGAACTCTGTATTCACAAATCACAAAACTTTAGTATAGAAATTATGAATCTACAGTAAAGATTATGAATCTACAGTACAGAAATTATGAATCTTTAGTATAGAAATTATGAATCTATAGTATAGAAATTATGAACATATAGTATAGAAATTCAGAATCTATAGTATAGAAATTATGAACTATTTTGTACCTAGCACCCCGGGTAATAAAGCTACTATTTTCTTACCTCCCGTACTGTACCTATATACCCTGTACACCCCGGGTAATAAAGCTACTATTTTCTTACCTCGCGTTCTGTACCTATATACCCGGTACTATTTTGGATCTAACGCCCTGGATAATAAAGCTAATATTTTCTTACCCCCGTTCTATACCTATATACCCAGTTTATGGTGGACCCGATCCCTATAAAACCATGAATATACTTATTTAATTTGAAAAAAAATGAAAGCTTATTATAAAATTAAAATAAAATTTCGTTATTTTCCTAATTATATTAATACATAATATATAGTATATTAGTACATAGTATAGTATATAATATATTAGTACATAGTACATAGTAACATAGTAATTAAACCATGGTTATGTTATTTCCCTCTTTGCAAAATTAAAATAATTCCTTCAATTCTTTCCCTCTGCAAATTTTTAATCAGAACACTTTGCGCAAAATTTTTCTCTTTACAAAAAATTCAATTCCTTCCCAAACAAAAAAAAAAAAACTCACACACCTCTCACCTCACACTTAACGTGAAAAAAATTTCACTTCCCTCCCAAACAAAAAAAAACTCAGACAACCCTAATCCCACACTTAGCGCTAAATAAAATCAATTCCCTCCCACACTTAGCTGGAAACTCACACAGCCCTCAATTCAGAGACCTCTCCCTCTCCCGGCCGTCCACAGCCGTCGTGTCTTGCCTCCCCGGCCAGCCACCGACGTCGCCGTCTTCCCTCTCCGGCCAGCAACCGCCATCGCATCTTCCCTCCCCGACCAACAACCTCCGTCCTCGTCGCTCCAACATCCTATCTTAAACCCTAATCCCTAAATTCCATTTTTGTTTTATACACGATTTCTTTCTTTCTTTTCCTTGATGTTTCTTTGTTTTATACACGATTTCTTTCTCTGCAAAGGTATAAGCCGTCCGTCAGCCACGCCATTGTCATGTAGCCTCCCCTCGCTGCCAACCGCCTCGCTTCCTCGCCGCCAACAGTCACAGCAACGACTGCTATCGCCTCCTCACCGCTCGCTACTGCGTCGGCGGCGAGCGACCGACGCAGTCCGCCGCCTCGGAGACGACAAAGACTACAAATTCAAAGACATAGAGTTCGCAAAGACGACGACCGGCGCACACGGAGCAGTCCCTTGGCCTTCGCAACTGTCTCTGTCGCAGGCACGCAGCAACCCCTCTCCCTCGGCCAGCGAGGCTCCTTCCCCTTCGGCCTTAGCAAGTAGCAACTGTCTCCGACAAGCACGCAGCAAACCGCTTGCCCTCGCCCTCATCTATCCCCCTCCCGTCTCCGACCGACCACTCAAGTCTCAACTATCATTGCACCCATTAGAGCTAGGTAAATAAAATTATTTTATTGCCTTTTAATTTAATTAAGTTTGTTTAATTGTTGATATTGATTATTGAATGTTGATTGTTGAATTCTTGAATTTTGATTTTTTTTTTCTCTAGCAGTGTACTGCCAGTGTCCAGTGATCAGTGATGGATTTTGTTTAAATATAAATGATTATTTTTTTATTTTTATTTAATTAATTTTGTTTTATTGTTGAAATTGATTATTGAATGTTAATTGTTAAAATCTATCTTTACCTTCTTGATTATTAATGTTAATTGTTAAAATCTGTTGTTTATGAACCACATGTATATTGTCTGTTTTCCTCCAGAAATTCTGCACCTAATCATTGCTCTTTAGCTCATTGTCTAAATTTGTCTGTATATTGTATAAACTCTCTGTCTCTTTCTCTTGCTCTCTAGCTCATTGTCAAGCTTTATACCATTTGCCATTTTTTTTGCTGCCACTCAGTTTATTCTCATATGCTCTTACAGCCTTCACAAATTCCTAGTTAATCAACTCAAATATGTTACTATTTTGGTTCACAAATTCTGTGTGTCTGTGTCTCTATATCTCTATTTTTGTTGCCTTGTACTTCATTTTTTTTTTTATGATGTTTTATGGTTGCATATAAATTCTTGTGTGAATAATAGTTGAAGTGTTGCAGGGAATTTATGCATCTTTCATATGCATGTTATTTTAAGCATTCTGTCACAAGTTGCTCATTCGGTATATATAGATTTATGACTTTCATTCAAGAATCCAATCTATCATTGAATGCCTTTGCTACCTCATCTTCAGTCTAGCAGTATGCTTATTACCTTTTTTAAATTTTCAAGCATGCTTTTGAATCTGTTACAAACTAACAAAAGTTAAATAAATCTGCTGCAAGTTACCATTGTGGTTGTGGTAGTACCCAAAGGACTTCCCTTAGCTGTCACTCTTACGGTAAGTTCATTCTATTTTCACATTAATACTGATAAAGTTTGAGTAGTTCTCTGTATATATAGCTGCTTCATTTGAAGGGTCAGTTGTATCTATTTATCACTTTCACTTCCTAATACTATTGCTAATATTAATTTCTAATATTATTATTCATTTGAAGGGTCAGTTATATCTATGAATATTATTATTGTTCTTAGTATTTGTAGACTAACCTAAAACATCTTCATATCAAATGTTTCAATAAGTATTGTGATGTATGATGATTGTTATAAGATTTTTGAAAGTTGTTGAATGGTTTCAACTAAATAATAACATATATTTTTTTTAAGAATCTGACTGACCTTACCTAGGTATTTATTTGTCCTTTTCTTATGGTATTTTTGAGCATGTTAAGTTCTTTTAGAAAAGGAAGCTCTTTGATTTAATTAAATTTGATTTTCTCTTTAAAAGAGTGCATAACTTGCAGTTTCCTGTACTAGGTTGAAGTGTGTATTTCATTTCCACTAAACCATTTGACACTTTTCTTTATTAGCTAGTTTTCATTTCTATTTCCTCCATTTTAGGAATGCATTTTTTTTACTTAAAACTTGCATTTTCTATCATATTTAACTTATTTTGGTTTTACTTAAAAGGTGCTGATTTTGCAGAGGCTTCGAGAAGGATGATAATGATAATGGTTTTTTCCATTCTAAGAACTTGGCCATGTACATTACTGTAATTTTCCTGGATTTCCTCTACATAGTTGTTCCATTCATTTTATATACAACTGTAAGCATTCTCATTCTCTCATTAAGGTTAAAGTATTATCACTTGTACCTAGTTTATCAGTTCACTTGAGTATTATCATATTGTAGTATGTGTGAATATATAAATATTATTTGCTTTTTACTCTACTTGATTGCAGGTATGTTGAGAGTAATCCAGTTATATAGAGTAGGAATGCATTTGATTAGAACTTTGTAAACAATATTTAGACTTGGTGATTAGAATTGTTCATTGTATTTTGAAGTAGATGATGAATTTGTGTGTATTTTGAAATACTTTACATACTTGTAGAATATGATTGTACTAATGAATTGATGGTTTGGTATTTATGGTGTTTGGATAAATTGTTTTTATTATATTATGGTTAAAATCAAAATAGGACGGTTTAAAATCACTGTCTATGAATGTGAGAACAATGGTTTTGAACCGTTGTCTTTAATATACAGGTTTCAACAACACTCAATAGATAACGGTTATTAACTGTTGTCTTTTATAGAAAAGACAACGATTAAAAACCGTTGTCTATGTGCGTGACTTTCAACAACACACAATAGACAACGGGGTTCAAAAATCGTTGTCTTTTCTAGAAAAGACAACGGTTAAAAACCGTTGTCTATGTGCATCACTTTTAACAACACCGGTTTCAACAACATTGAATAGACAACGGGTCAAAAACCGTTGTTTTTGAAAGAAACGACAACGGTTTAAAACCGTTTTCTATGTACGTGACTTTTAACAACACCGGTTTCAACAACACTCAATAGACAATGGTTCTTAAACCGTTGTCTTTTCTAGAAAAGACAACGGTTAAAAACCGTTGTCTATGTTCGTGACTTTTAACAACACCGGTTTCAACAACACTTAATAGACAACGGTTAAAAAACCGTTGTCGTTTATAGAAAAGACAACGGTTAAAAGCCGTTGTCTATGTGCGTGACTTTTAACAACACCGGTTTCAACAACATTTAATAGACAACAGTTAAAAAACCGTTGTCGTTTCTAGAAAAAGACAACGGTTATTAACCGTTGTCTATGTGCGTGACTTACAACAACACTAGCTTCAACAACACTTAATAGACAACGGTTTAAAAACCGTTGTTGTTTCTAGAAAAGACAACGGTTATTAACCGTTGTCTATGTGCATGACTTGCAACAACACCGGCTTCAACAACACTTAATAGACAACGGTTAAAAAACCGTTGTTGTTTCTAGAAAAGACAACGGTTAAAAAACCGTTGTCTATGCGCGGGACTTACAACAACACCGGCTTCAACAACAGAAATTATACCCCTACGACAACGGTTATTAACCGTTGTCTATATGCATTTTTCTTGTAGTGATTGATTTTAATGTTTGTTTTTCCCTCATTTAATATTTATTTAGGCCATGAATAATTTTTTCTTTACGGAAATGAACAAAATTGATAAATTTGATCGATTGATTGGATACTAAGTGACCTGAAATCTTTGAGACATACCACCATTTCACGATGTGCTTAATACAAATATGATAAAATTCTATTACAACAATAACAAAATACTAATAAGCTAATAAATATATCTTAAAATTCTATTTCAACAATGGTATAATTAACAAATTGAGTCACAAACACAACAACAATAATATTAGTTGAAAAATAATATAATTAGTAAAGTTTGACTTCAATACAGTCCTGGAATGTAGCATGGCAAATGGGGCAGCCATTGGTTGTTCCCGCACAGCTCTTGCACAGGCAAAGATGGCGGCACGGCCATGCCATCATCGTTGCAGACTCTCTCCAGCATATTTTGCAGCTGATTCTAATCACCACAGCTTGACCACCCGCCGCCCCATCGCCGCCGCCCAGATGCAGGGCAACATTGAGAGCAGAATTGGTTTTCTCGAGAGCCTTGACCCTCTCCGCCATGCTCAAAGCTTGACTTCTGTAATGGGCAATCATGGCTTCCATCTGCTTATTCTGCCTCTCCACCTCGTACTTCCGCTTGCACAATTCCTCTAGCATTTCACTCACCACAGCCCTCTATATTCATGTTAAGTATACATATATATAAATTAAAGAATCAAAATGATACACCATGCACATATGCAAGTAGCCATTACAAAAGAATGGGATTGGAGTAACATAGCCAAATTGGTCGGACTGTTTACTAGATAATAATATAGTTTGAGTTCGACTTTAGAATTACTTATTTGGTCTTATTGGTTTAATCTCTCTTTGCACGTTAGGGTAACAAGGCAGGATTTACCCGTGAAAAAAAAAATTATGAAAAGGGATTGAGTTATTACGTTATAGTTAAAGGGTGGGGGCGCATATGGGCGAAGGGCGGGGTCAAAATAGGGCCGCAGCGCCAGGGACGACGACGCTCCTGGTTGATCTAGATGCAACGGCGGTGGAGTGGGGAACCGCGGCGGCGACGCATGGGACGGCACTCTTGGTTGACTACCAAGGCGGAACTGCAGGTTCAACGGCGGCGGCGGCGCTCCCGCTCCCTCACTTTGATACCGCGGATTGGGGAACCCTGGCGGCGACGGCGAGTGCGTCATTTCACCACCTTCCGGCGCCTCCCTCTTGCGGCCACCGCTTGAAGAAGCAAGCATGTTCAAACACTTCCTATGCATTTACGCTTTCTTCTCTCTTTTTTTTTTTTTTTTTTTTTTTTTTTTTTTTTTTTTTTTTTTTGTTTTTTCTCTCAAAACTCTTGCCGGAAAACAAGAAAATGATGTGATTATAAATAGGGAGAAGAGGTGGGTGGCAGCGCAGCAGAGACAGACGTATCTGACCTATTTGTTCCAATCGGGCGAGACTAATTATTTAGGTTTTCAAATTAAATTGTATCCGATTTTATTTTATAACAAGGAATAATAGGTAAAAATATAAATTTCCATATAAGTAGAAATGAACAATAGGTAAAAATATAGATCTCCATATAAGTAGAAATGAACAATAGGTAAAAATATAAATCTCCATATAAGTAGAAGTGAATAATGCCAATTATATATTTTTGTTTGAGAGAAATGAGGGGAAAACCTAGAACAAAACACAAGTTATTCTATAACAGAGATCTTCATAAAATAATGAATGCTCAAACAATGATAAAAAAGAAGCTAATGAAGACACAACAAATATTGCCCCAAATATTTTTCCCTATTTGAAAATGAATAAAATTATTAATTATGATTAGTTGGATATATGTGACATGGAAATTTTCTTTTTACGCAGAGTAGATATGGTAAAATTCTATTTCATTCCACAATAGTAAAATACATATCATTACGAAAAGAAATAATAATGATATTTATATTTATATAAATATGAAAGTAAAATACTATTAGGCTAATAAATATATCTCCAAATTCAATTTCAAAAATAGTAAAATATATTGATCTCCAAAAAGAAATAAACAATGACATTTATACATATAAATTTAAACAATTTATTATTTTTTAAAAAAATATTCATTAACACCTTTAAAATGAATGAAATTGTTAAATTTAATTAATATGGTATTATTACCTGACGTGAAATTTTTGAGATAATACAATACTTTCTTGATATGCTTAGAATGGTTATGGTAAATTTATATTTTGACTATAGTAAAATACATATCTCTATGAATAGCAATGGCAACCATATTTATATAAATAATAAAATAAAATACTAATATACTAAAAATATATCCTAAAATTCTATTTCAACAATAGTAAAACTATATACCTCCATAAATATAAATAAACAATGACATTTTTCCTTTTTTTTTTTTTTGTGAAAGAGAGAGAGAGACAAGCGAAAAACCTAAAACAAAATGTAAACATTTTATTTATGTTTTTTAAATATTCATTTACGGGCATATTTTTCCCTCTTTGAAAATGAATGAAACTTTTAAGTTTGATTAGTTGGATACTATAATAGGTGTGAAATTTTTGAGACAATACAATTCTTTTCTGATATGCTTAGAGAAAATATGGTCAAATTCTATTTTGACAATAGTAAAATACATATCCCTATGAATATAAATGACAATGATATTTATATAAATAACAAATAATGAATTTCATTTTTGGTCCTATTGTTATAGGGACTTTTCCAATTTTAGTCCACCATAATTATTTTTGCCACATTGCATCCACTATTATTAAAAATGTTACAATTTTTGTCCACTTTAAGATTTTTCGTGGACTAAAATTGGAACACTTTTAATAATAGTGGACGCAATGTGACAAAAATAATTATGGTAGACTAAAATTTGAATGACCCTTATAACAGTAGAACCAAAAATGGAATCCACTCAATAAGAAATGTAAAATACTAATAATATGCTAATAAATATATCATAAAATTCTATTTCAACAATAGTAAAAATATAAATCTTCATAAATAGAAATGGATAATGACATTTCTATGTTGACGATAGCAACAATATTTATATTAATAATAAAAGTAAGGGAAAATGACACTTTTTCCCCCTGAGTTATATACCTATAGTATTTTTTCCCCCTAAATTATTGAAGCGGCTGTTTTCCCCCCTGAAATGTTAAATGGACATATTTACCCTTAAACTAAATATTTAATTTATTTTTTTTTTCAACAAATTATGACCATAATTTGGTTCAAACTAAACAAACACTATAGCAACCAAACCGAAATATTTCAATTACAATTTAGAATCGGAATTCGATATTTAGAGTTTATTAAAATCGTAAACCGGAACGGACAGTTCATGTTCCGAACTGAAAAAATAAAATACATTTATTGTTGAATTTAGACTATTTTAAAATAAAAAAAATAAAATTTTAAAATAAAGACGGTTCAAAATCGCGAATCAGATCCGGAACCGCCGGTTCACGGTTCAAGATTCAATTTTTTTGATACATAATTTTAATAAATTGACATTTAAATAATGTGTTCTAGATCTGAATTATAACCGTAAACTATTAATTCGATTGCTTTAGTATCCGGTTCAATTCAAACCGAACCGTGGTCATCCCTACGTATACGCAATAATTTGTTGGAGTAATAAAATAAATAAAATGCTTACTTTAAGGGTATAAATGTCAATTTAATATATTAGGGGAAAAAGGCACCACTTTTAGAATAATTGAGGGGGCTAATGTGCTTACCTAAATAATTGAGGGGGAAAAAGTGCTATAAGTATATAACTCAGGGGTAAAAAGTGCCATTTTCCCTAAAAGTAAAATACTAATAGGTTAATAAATATATCCTAAAATTCTATCTCAGCAATGGTAAAAGTATAAATATCCATAAATAAAAATGAACAATGATTCTATGAACATATGTCCAATATTTATATTTTTAAAAATAAATAACAAATCCTTACTAATTAAA